TAGTTGCATATCCCTGGACCACACAATGAATATGGGGAAAAGTTTCTTCTGTAAATAATTACTCTTCTTATAGGTTTTTATTACTAATTATGTAAGAACAACAAATAGACACTGAATTAAATTACATTACATTAACATCTGAACTGATGAATTTTACTAAACTGAGAAATATTTTCATACTATAATGAAATTGCATAAAAGTCAGTGGCGTACATTTTTTTATCACAAATATCCGTTCAGATCCGGCGCGAGACGCCACTGAACTTGATAAATTTAATCAAGTTAGTGCTAAATTAGCTTCTTAGTGTTATAAATTCCTCCACCAAATTGGAAGGAAATGAGGTAAAGGATGTTTAAGAAATTTACGAACCATTCTTTCATTGAATTTTAACACCTTGTATCTTGAGAACGAAAACTTTGCGGACCTATATTTATATGATCTTCTTGTCTCAAAATTACTCAAAGAATCGTCTGTTTAATTTATGGTGCATAATTAAAATCCTGTATATTGAATAACAGTGGACCTAAAAGACTGTTTATACATATTAGGATTGTATAATATCCCTGATCTATAACCAACTCGGAGTTCTCTGCCTTCTCCGGTTCTTCTTGTTTCGCTGTGCGCGAGCTGGTCGTTCATTTATAAAGTATCTAATTTCTGTTCTTGCTTTTTCGTTTTTGCACGCTCGTTATCTGGAGTGGCCCTTTTTACCTGTCAGATGAAAATTGAAATATTCTCCGCTGCTGCCTGTTGTCTGTATTTCGCTGGTTCAGCTCCCTCACACCCCCTAATATATCGATCACACTCTGTCTTTTTTGATGTATTGATAAGGAGAATACATTTGAGTTTCGGGGATCAAAGGCCGATCTAAACGTTGCCAGATAAGTGAAAGGTCGGTCATATTTGGTCGGGTTGAGAAGGTTATCTATTTGAATATAAATGAAATAAAAAATACAATTTCAAGAACAAGCTTTTGAAAATTGACAAATAAGTGAAAAATTGCTCAAGCCCAACCCATCTCAAAAAAGGAATCTAAGATCGACCCTTACAATTATAGGCCTATAGCTCTGCTTTCTGTTGTGGGGTGATGGAGAGGTGCATAAATCGCGGGCTTCTGGACTACCTCGAACGTCAAGGCTTGATCAGCGACAGGCAGAATGGTGTCCGGCATCAGCGATCCTCAGGGGACCTCGTGGCTACCTCACGCAGTTGTGGAGTAAACTCGTTCAGTCTTATGGTGAGGCTCATGTCGTTGCTTTTGATATCACGAACGCATTCGATCAGCTGTGGTACGCTATCCTTTTACGCAAACTTCCATCCTATGGTCTTGCACAAAAACTTTGCTTACAAATTCCCCAGGGATCAGTGTTGGCTCCGATACTATTTCTCTTACGTATTAACGACCTCCTTCCCTATATGATCAATCCAATCCACAACTGGCAAGAAGAAGACTAGCATCGGCTTCCTTTCTGACGAGAGACCTGGCGGCTATCACTGCTTAGGGATGCAACAATCTTGCACAGTTTCATGCTTCCAAAACTGTACCTTGACGAACAAAAAGCGTACTAGCGCTCATCCGGTTTCGATGGATGACCGAGTTCTGGCAAAGAGCCGTTAATTTCAGCTAGTCGGAGACCAGATCACCAAGGAGCTAATCTGACACGAACACATCTTGTCAATAGTGACAGTTGCTGGAAAAGAGTTAAGCTTAGAAGTACTTTCCTTCACATGACCTCCTCACTCTGTACAAGGCCCAGATAAGGCCTGGCGTAGAGAACTGGCGGATACGACTGCTCCTTTGTCGTGAGGGTGTCGAGATCGTAGAACAAAAACAAGAGGAAGATTTTCTCAGTTCTATTAACCTTGGGCTGTTCAAAAAGCGAATTAACAGAATTCCTTTGGGATCCCCATAGCAGCCGCGGTGGTCCTGGTCCTACTACACAATAATAATAATAATAATAATAATAATAATAATAATAATAGTAATAATAATAATAATAATCCGGCTTTATTTATACAAAGTATAAAAAGGCGAAGTGTCGCTAAAAACCGTTTTTCAACTTAACCCAACTCATATTTATGTAAATTTTCTAATACCAATGAAAACAAAAAAGTTAAAAAAAAACCTGTAACGAGTCCCTATTCATGGCCATGGTCTACTTACTGGGCAATGAAATCAGAAATAAAATGCTTCAATCTTTTTTTGAAATTATTTATAGAGTAGTGAGTGAACTCGGTAGGCAACGCGTTGTATAGCTTGATAGCAGTATACAGGGTGGCGCATCGAAAACGAAACAGACGCATTTACTGGCAGCTCAGTATTTTTTTTTTTTTGAAAAACGCTCAGACCCGTCGATTTTGTTTTCGAAGGGGACACAAGTTTGGCAAAAACTCAAGTTAGCACGTGCAGCCCCTTAAGCGGTGGTGACACCACCCCCAAAATCTTAAATGGAAAGGGGGGTCGAGTGATACGTTATTTTAAAGGTCAATTTGTCCCCTTATAATCAACAACAATATTAAAATGTAAAAATGTCTCCACAAGAAAACTAAGAAAAATCAAGAATACAGTCCACTATACTCGAAGGGCCAATCCGTGAATCATTACGATCTACCTCGCCTCTACCGCTGCGCCAAGGGGCTTTGCTCCTTGATGCTCTCGCCCATGATGTCACTGCGCATTGTGCCTGCCAGACAGACCCGCCTGACTTAAGCCTCCCATCCTGACCGTGTCAAACTTCGTACATCCAGAACTGACCGACAATACTGCTCCTTTGTCCATAGGGTTCGAGGTTGTGGAAAAATCTACAAGAGGAAGCTCCCAATTCTACTAACCTTAGGCACTACAAAATTCCGATTAACAAAGTATCTGTGTGATCCTCATAGCAGCCGCGGTGTCCTGGCATTTAGACTATTGCCTTCGGTGTAAAAAAATAGTTTTTCAAGTAACACCTTTTTGCCATCCTGCTGTCAAAATGTAACATGCTTTTATTCGAAAGCTTGAGATGAAGGAGCCTCATTATCGATTAAAAATTTACAATCGGAAACATTATTTTTAATTGTTTAGTTCATTCTATGAACATATACACAAAGTTTGTTTTTAAAAATGTGTTTTTCTTTAATTTGTTTATTTTTAATTTTAGTATTTTCAATGTCGAATAGCTAGTTCAGTAATTTATATTATATTCATTATATTTTATTAAAAGGACTGCATAAAACAGTTGTCGGAACTACTTGGAGTTTATTTGCATTATCGTCATCATTTATACACAGGAGCAGATAGACATAAGCATTATATTATACGAGCCACTTCCCACTACAGTTGGCCCAACTATTGAAATCTTAATTTTTTTCTTATCAAACACAAATAATGAAAATGTAGCAGGGTGTTATAGGTTTAAAATATTAACAATGAATATTTTGATAATATATAGTAGAAAACACCAACTTTATCACTCCCTCATCAATTTGCAGCATAAAAATAACACATGTTGCAATTACAGCATATCAACCTATTCTGACTTCAATGCGAAATAAGTCTATAATGCTTAGGTGGCTGTGAAAAATAAAAGCCACGACAATTGTTTTTATTAATCACAGCTGCCAGAATGCGTTTAAAATAGTTTTGGGTAGTTAAGGTTTTCAAAATGGGTAGAGGAAAGGTTATTAGTGAGAAAATTCGGTTACTGAGAATTAAATTTTTTAATTATGGGAAATCAAACTCAGAAATTGCAACGTTGTTAGTCTTATCGCGGTACAGTGTGAGAAATATTGTCAAAAGATATAACGTAACTGGTTCAGTTAATATTAAGCCACGATATGTGAAAAAAAGTAATATCACAAATGCCGACCGAAGAGCATTAAGAAGAATAATCGTGAAAAACAGGCGTGCCAATTATTTACAATTAAGTGCTCTGTGGAGTGACGCTGTTGGAAGCAGAATTACGAGGTCCATGACTCATAGAGAGGCCCACAAACTGGGATTTAGCACTTGCAGGGTAAGTTTCCTTATAAAAAAAAGAGAAGTAAAAACCCTAAAGTTGCACAACTTGTTTATAGGTCAAAGAAAAGCCACTATTAACTTCACTGCAAAAGAAAAATTGGCTTAGATGGGCTAAAGAACATAGACAATGCACACCTCAACAATGGTGTGTAATACAATGAAGTGATGAGGCCCGATTCGAAGTTTGTGTTGGTGAAAGTCGCAGTAGAGTTATTCGCAAAAATTGAAGCATTCCAAGTTGACTGTCTGAAGAGAAAAGTGAAATTTCCAGCATCCATTATGGTTGGGGCAGTATGTCATCAAAAGGAGTAGGAAAACTTCATTTTATTGATGGAAATCTGGATACAAACAAATATTTGGCGATTTTAGAAGAATCGCTTTTACCTATGATGGAAGAATGTTTGACATCCGGCCAAGATTTTGTGTTTCAGCAAGATGGTGCAGCGTGCCATACCTCAAAAAAGGCTATAAAATGGATGGAAGAAAATAATGTACCACTTTAGAAAAGGGTTTCTAGCAGTCCAGATCTGTCACCGATTGAAACTTCGGCACGAGATGAAAAAAGTTCTACGACAACATCCTGCTCGTACAATCACCGAACTGAGATAAAAGCTTCAAGAAATATGGGATTGTTTTACACCAAATTTTTGCCAAAACTTGGGAAACACTATGCCCCAAAGAATTTCAGCCGTAATAAAAAATAAAGGTGATGTTACCCAATGGTAATCTTTCAATTGTTGCTTTGTTAACTTCGCGCATTTATTTGCACATTGTTTATTTATGCAGATGTTCTATTAGTTAAAGGTCTAAGTGATTTCAAATATGTATTTTTTTCGACTAGAGTGTATATAAATTTGCTTTTGAGAAAATAAATTGTTTTAGAAGTAAATAGTTTTGTCATGTTTAGTTTATAGAGGCATACTTTGGTACAAATCTTGAAGTGGGCCAACTAAAGTGGGACACACATTTGTGTGTTTGACAATAAGTTTGTACACTTACCTACAACTAGCATAGTCTGTGTATCCGTAGCGGTAGAAAAATATGGAGCGTCCGTCGTCACTTCACAGGTAAAGTTACCCGACACATTGAAGTCTATCTTATTCAGCAATACGTGCGTTCCATTAGAATTACTGACCTGAAACACACAAATAAAATAAAATAAAATCCAGATGATACATATGAAAATTGTTTTTTTTTTGCATTTGACATCCTGTTACTGCATTTTTGTTGTTCCCTGTTCAAATAGATGCAGTATATTCTGAGCATCCTCCTAGACAGACTAAGGGTAAGAAAATAAATTCAACGTGGGTAGTAGTTACTTTGACATACATCGAGACGCTGTGCTTTTCTGTTTCATAAGAAAAATAATTCCTCGAAACGACACTGCAAGCATCCAATATACAACATTATCAACCTTTTATAACCTCGCAAACTGCAGAACAGTATAACATGTTATGAGTATGACCTTAAAATGGCGTATATAATGCACACTTTATAGACATCTCCAGAAATTCTTTGTTCAAGGAATTTAATGAATCCAGAATAGTCCAAATCTATTGTTTGAAGAGTGGAGTCAGGTAGGTTGTCTCTTTACTAGTCCAAAGTTGGTTACGAATATGTATAAAGCAAAATTAAACGAATCAAGTCTAATAACAACCCCATACAGGTAGTCCATGGAATATTGTCCCTACCCTACTGACAGTAGCGACCATCTGGTAACCGTGCTATGATTAACCTCGCACATACCCTTTCATCACCACCGACTCCGAAACAAAGAAACACAGATACTCATTGGTCAGACCGCGACGGAGATCTACTCAGAGACGCGTGTCGTAGATATCTCTCATTCAGGTCTTGAGGGCAAACGTATGATGTGTGAAATGAAATAGGTAGGTATGCAGAGTTACCGTATAAAAACATTGATGCAAAAAACTGAGCTATAAAAATAATCCCCAATCTTTACTCGTACTATTTTTTTTCTGAACATAATCAGGAGGCTCCTCAACCTCAAAAAACGAAGTTTTTGTGGTTTGACCTTGAGACAGTAGTAGTATTGTGTAAACATTTCACTAATGTGCGAGCGGCACTGTCAAACTATTTATATAGGATGGCCCATCGATGTGTGGACGGAATATTACTGATAGACAAATACAATTTGGGAAAATCCATTTATGGCACGTTATACACATTTCTAAAATATTGGCAATTATACAGGGTGTCCCAATTTTGACCTACATATCAAAGTTGATTTTTTAAAGGGAATGCCTCAAATTTTATTATACTTTGAAGTTGAGTCATTAATTTTCAGATAATGATTGTAGAAGGAAGATAAACCAAAATATGTGTGTAAAAATGAAAAAAAATTAAAAAAAAATGTTTACCTTGTTTTATAAAGTATCCTCCCGACAAGTATTTGAGTGCGGACCTGTATTTGATCGTGAGGTCTTGGAGCACTGGCATCCCCTCCCCTGTGAGGTCTTAAGTCAGCTGATTCACGAGCCCGTTGTACTACATTAACAAAGGCACGAGGGGTTGGTCGCACTCGATTGGGAGACCGATCCGCATAAATATGTGCCATTTTTTATCTCGTTTGAGCCATGCAGCAAACACCATTCACTCACGCGTTACCGACTGACACATTGACTGAATAAAAACATCGTGATCAGCGTTTCAAATTCTTTGGATTTTTTGTTTCCGATGCGATGAACCGATACGCGGAGTATATCCGTTGTTGCCAAACACGAGCACATAATATTATTATTGAGACAGGGCGGTACTCAAACTTCTAAAGGGCTATAACTTTGTTACTTTAATCTTACCACAAAAATGTTGAAGGAAAAAAACATTTCTTTTGATCGGATCTACTCACTGTTACAATAAATGACTCAACTTCGAAGTCACCCTGTATATTTGGATGAAACAATTCGAAATAAGAAAATTGATATAACATACTATGAGGTTTTGGTAATTAGCTACTGAGATGTAAGGTGTTTTGTCCAGAAAAACCGTCACCTCGACAACCCCTCAATTCGCCATTTTGAAATTTGCAGTGCTGAATTTTGTATCAAAAAAAACTTACATACCTCAGCTTTTATCTTATTTTTTACCTTTCCGAATTTTTATTTTTGCTCATACAGGGTGGTCGAAAACGCGAATTGTACTTTTTGTCAAAAATTTCAAATGCATCACCCTGTATATTTGTGCAAGTTTGGATTCAATTCCTTATAAGCTTTTGTTTAGTATGAGGTTTTATTCAGATAAAATTACTAGATTTTGAGTTATTAAGCTTTTAATAGAACAACACACCAAAATTAAGGAAAAAAGTCACATCATCCATGGAAACAAAAGACAAACAGTGGGCTAGTTCCATATTGCCACTAAGAGTACAGATTTGACGTAAAAACTAATAACAATCAGAGCAGTATAAATCAGCTTCAAGCGTAGTAGAGGAAAACAACTATAACAACAACATAAACAAACAACTGTCACTATTCAAGACCTAATCTACAAAAACTGCTCGAAAATATCTCCACCATGTTGAATACACCGCCGTATTCTTTGGATAAATGACCGTTGCACACCCCTCAGCATGTGTTACCCTTATCTTCATAAAAGCATCCTTAATCCTTTCCTTCGGGGTAGGTTGTGAATATCTATAACCCTTTTGCTTAACGTAGCCCCATAGAAACAACTCTATCGGTGTCATATCTGGTGATCTAGGAGGCTAACATATAGGCCCACCATGACCGATCCACCGATTGGTACGCCAGGTGTCCAAATAGTTAGCACACGGTTATGATAATGCGCTGGTGTGCCGTCATGTTGGAAGTACTCGTACATATGCATCCGAGTTTGTAGGTAAATGCTCGATCAAAAAAATCAAGTACCTGTTAATCTGTTGTCGAAAAAGGAAGGCCCGATAACTTGTCTGCCAATAAACTCCTTCCCAGACATTCAAGCTCCATTTATTTTAGAAATCTATTTGCCTAACCCAGTAAGGGTTTTCCGTCGCATAATAGAGCATATTATACCTGTTAACAACATCTATGCTGTTAGACGTTGTCTCATCGCAAAAAAGAACTTTAACCAGGAAAGTGGTAATATTCACTCACTTTACTTAGCATTATTCTACTAAACTCCATTCGAGCTGCGAAATCCTGAGGAAGAAGGCCTTGATGCAAGCACAGCTCATATGGATGATACCTATGCTTGTGAATAATTCTTTGGACAGATGTTCTGCATAAATCAGTTTCTGCTCCAATTTGCCGTGCACTTAAATGGGGATTTTCCTGCAACTTTAATAGAACCTCTGATTCGCCTCATTGGTGACATTTGGATTATTTATACATTTTTTACAATCTTCCATTGCTCCACTTGATTCAAAACGTTCTCGTAGTGTGGAAAATGTTTTCGGCCTTGGATGTCGCATATTAGGGTATCGTTGCTTATAAATGCGAGATGCTAGGAAACTATTTCTTTGGGCTTCGCCCAAACGAGCACCATTTTCACCATTTCTTCTTTAGAAAAAATCATTTTCAACACGTTTTTATTATTCATAATTTTGACAGTCTGTAACTAATCACACTTTATTTTGTTTCCAAGGATGATGCGATATTTTAGGGAATTAATCCCTTCCATAAAAGATAACCGAAGAAATAGCCGTAAAAACCCTTATGTGCCTAGTATCAAAATGGCGGATTGAGGGGTTGCCAAAGTGGACGGTTTTTCTGGACAAAACACCTTACATCTCAGGAGCTAATTACCAAAACTCATAGTATGTCATATTAATTTTCTTCTTTGGATTGGTCCTATCCAAATATGCAATAAAGTTTGAGGCATTCCATTTGAAAAATCACAACTTTGATATGTAGGTCGAAATTTGGGCACCCTGTATTATGGCCAATATTTAGAAATGTACCCTCAAATTTTCCCAAAATGTATTTGTTTGTGAGTATATTCCGTCCACATGATGGGCCACCCTGTAGACTAACCAAGGATTAGTGGGCAGACAGAGCGACAGACAGACAGGCTGACAAATATGAGCAACATAGATTTTCGTGACTTAAATGTCATATTATCCAAAAAAATATAACATCTCAATTTGAAATCTCGCCAGAGATTTCTGCAGTTTTTGGTGTCCAGAGCTTACTTATATATTATCTAATTCCAGCATTCACAATAGGTGTAACGTCGCTGGAGATATCTACTTCATACTAAATCCAAGTACACTATAATCCCATTTTCATCATCAGGGGGTCTAAGACTCCATTTCTCATTTGTTGCAGCAATCGCAGGTTATGTAATACCGTCACCTCTACCCTTATAACGGAGAGAAACAATATCCGGACAATCCGGGCAAAAGCTCGTCGCCTTCGCCCCAGAGTCCCCGGACTCAAGTAATTGCTAAAAGTAATTGAATTCAAGAACAATTGCATCTGCGAAGGAATTTTAATACTGATTAATTAATTACTTTGCGAAAGAAACTAGATGTAATTGCAGCTGGCTCAACGTTCTCTAGAAAATTGCACTTGTAGCTGCAGTCACTTTACAATTAACGTGTAATTTTGGACTCATCAATGTCAAAGCAGACGAAAAGGGTCAAACTGATTGGAATCGGATAGATGAAGGCACCATACACTACACGTTAGAGGGCAAAGATACACTTCTCATTTTATGTTCCGAGCATGTTCAGTGTCATACCAGGTTGACAGGATGATACGCCAATACTTCAAATATCATCTCACCTGAATTGTTTTCTTCGATGCGCCATTTTTTGAGTAAAAAAATAAAAACCGTTCTATTGTCCGAGAAAATTAATGTAACAATTGATGAATGCAATTTAGCAATAAATATCTAGTTGCTCTGGAATATGTCACTGGCTTTTGACATCTGACAAGTTTCTGTTATTTACATCTGTCTGCTATGACACCTATTTCATTATTTAGTTTTTACAATCTTGTTAATAATGGTGAATTATTCAAATGCAGAAATGGCGGAAATGCATTACGTATATGGCCTTGCCGACGGTAATAGTGATCAAGTCAGACGAATTTATTACCAGAGATATCCCGATCGCGCTTGGCCAGATAGTCGAACCTTTTCTAATATTCATCGTCGTCTTGTTGAAACTGGTTC